GTTCACAAAAGCAGCAGTGCTTGAGCTTTGGTGAAGAGCATGGAGCTCTTACAACTTTGAGGTGATGACTACGGGCTCCCGGTTGCAATATACAGTAACAAAACTGCTTCTTTGTATTCAGGAGATGTTCTGGATCACACAGGGAAACTCGGGCTAGGGAATGAAGACAATTTTAAGTGCAACAACTCAGAGTCACAGAAGCACAGCCTTGGAAACTAAAACAAGAGCTTTATTTAATTGTAATGCTTAATGTAATGTAATGTAAATGTAATTGACCCAGGTCTTTTACAGATTGGAATTCTAATCATTCAGGTTTAAAGAGAAACCCCGTGTCTCTGCACCTCCATTTCCAGGGCGAGCTCACTCTCCAGTATCAAGTTCCCCGGGGTGAGTTTCCTTGTACAAGAGTCCAAGGGGAGCGGCAAGGAGTGGGAGGCAGGGAGTCCAGTTCAGGGAACGCGGATTCCAGGACGAGAAGTGATGGAGAAGGGACTGGGCGCAGCCTGGGGGTCTCTCCCCGGTATCCACAGTCAGATCCTCGGCCAGGACTCAGGCAGACAGTGTGACAAAGAGGCTTGGTGTAGGAGAAGAGGGATCAGGACAAAGTCCCAGGTCCCAGGCGTGGTTCTCAGGGTCTCTGGCACCGGCACGGAGGGCCTTGTCTGCACTCGGGAGGCGCAGCTTGGGGATTCCCCAGTCCCCCTAGTTTGATTTCTTGTCCCAACCTGTGTCGGGTCCTTCTTCCTGGATACTCATGACGCGGACCCAGTTCCCACTCCCATTGGGTGCCGGGTTTCTAGAGAAGCCAATCAGCGTCGCCGCGGTCCCGGTTCTAAAGTCCCCAGTCACCCGCTCGGACTCAGATCCTTCCCAGACGCCGAGGATGACGGTCATGGCGCCCCGAACCCTCCTCCTGCTGCTCTCGGGGGCCCTGGCCCTGACCCAGACCCGGGCAGGTGAGTGCGGGGTCGGGAGGGAAACGGTCTCTGCGGGGAGGAGCGAGGGGCCGCCCGGCGGGGAGGGAGGACCCGGGGAGCCGCGCCGGGAGGAGGGTCGGGCGGGTCTCAGCCCCTCCTCGCCCCCAGGCTCCCACTCCCTGAGGTATTTCTACACCGCCGTGTCCCGGCCCGGCCGCGGGGAGCCCGGCTTCATCGCCGTGGGCTACGTGGACGACACGCAGATCGTGCGGTTCGACAGCGACGCCGAGATTCCGAGGATGGAGCCGCGGGCGGCGTGGGTGGAGCAGGAGGGGCCGGAGTATTGGGAGGAGCAGACACGGAGAGCCAGGGACACCGCACAGGGTTACCGAGTGAGCCTGCGGAACCTGCGCGGCTACTACAACCAGAGCGAGGCCGGTGAGTGACCCCGGCCCGGGGCGCGGGTCACGACCCCTCCCCATCCCGCAAGCACCGCCTGGGTCTCCCCGAGTCCCCGGGTCCGAGGTCCACCCCGAGGCTGCGGGACCTGCCCAGACCCTCGACCGGGGAGAGCCCCAGGCGCCTTTACCGAGTTTCATTTTCAGTTTAGGCCAAAATCCCCGTGGGTTGGTCGGGGCGGGGCTCGGCGGGCGGGGTTGACCGCGGGGGCGGGGCCAGGGTCTCACACTCTCCAGACAATGTACGGCTGCGATGTGGGGCCGGACGGGCGCCTCCTCCGCGGGTACCGGCAGGACGCCTACGACGGCAAGGACTACATCGCCCTGAACGAGGACCTGCGCTCCTGGACCGCCGCGGACATGGCGGCTCAGATCACCCAGCGCAAGTGGGAGGCGGCCAGTGTGGCTGAGAGGATGAGAGCCTACCTGGAGGGCGAGTGCGTGAAGTGGCTCCGCAGACACCTGGAGAACGACGGGAAGGAGACGCTGCAGCGCGCGGGTACCATGGGCAGTGGGGAGCCTTCCCCATCTCCTGCAGATCTCCCGGGCTGGCCTCCCACAAGGAGGGGAAGAAATGAGATCAGAGCTAGAATATCGCCCTCCCTTGAGAGCAGAATGACATGAGTTTTCCTGAGTTTCCTCTGAGGCCCCCTCTGCTCTCTAGGACAATTAAAGGATGACGTCTCTGAGGAAATGGAGGGGAAGAAAGTCCCTAGAATACTGATCCGGGTCCTCTTTGACCCCAGCAGCCACCTTGGGCACCGTGACTTTTTCTCTCAGGCCTTGTTCTCTGCCTCACACTCAAATGTTTGAAGGTCTGATTCCAGCTTTTCTGAGTCCCTTAGACTCCACTCAGGTCAGGACCAGAAGTCGCAGTTCCTCCCTCAGAGACTAGAACTTTCCACAGAATAGGAGATTATCCCAGGCGCCTGTGTCCAGGCTGGTGTCTGGGTTCTGTGCTCCCTTCCCCACCCCAGGTGTCCTGTCCATTCTCAGGATGGTTACAAGGGTGCTGCTGGGGTGTCCCATGAGAGATGCAAAGTGCCTGAATTTTCTGACTCTTCCCATCAGACCCACCAAAGACAGATGTGACCCACCACCCCATCTCTGACCATGAGGCCACCCTGAGGTGCTGGGCCCTGGGCTTCTACCCTGAGGAGATCACACTGACCTGGCAGCGGGATGGGGAAGACCAAACTCAGGACACGGAGCTTGTGGAGACCAGGCCAGCAGGGGATGGAACCTTCCAGAAGTGGGCATCTGTGGTGGTGCCTTCTGGAGAAGAGCAGAGATACACGTGCCATGTGCAGCACGAGGGGCTGCCGGAGCCCCTCACCCTGAGATGGGGTAAGGAGGGGGATGGGGGGTCATGTTTCTTCTCAGGGAAAGCAGGAGCCCTTCTGGAGCCTTTAGCAGGGTCAGGGCCCCTCACCTTCCCCTCTTTTCCCAGAGCCGTCTTCCCAGCTCACCATCCTTATCGTGGGCATCGTTGCTGTGGCTGTCCTAGGAGCTGTAGTCCTCGGAGCTGTGGTCATCGGAGCTGTTGTGATGTGGAGGAGGAAGAGCTCAGGTAGGGAAGGGGTGAGGGGTGAGGTCTGGGTTTTCTTGTCCCACTGGAGGTTTCAAGCCCCAGGTAGAAGAGTGTTCTTTCTCATTACTGGGAAGCACCATCCACACATGGACCATGTGCCCACAGCCAGGGCGGGAGGGGGTCTGTGTGCCAGCACTTACTCTTTTGTGAAGCAGATATGACAACAAAGGACAGATGTATCACCGTGATGATTGTGGTGTTGGGGTCCTGATTCCAGCAGTCACAAGTCAGGGGAAGGTCCCTGCTAAGGACAGACCTTAGGAAGGTGGTTGGTCCAGGACCCACACCTGCTTTCCTCGTGTTTCCTGACCCTTCCTGGGTCCGTAGTCATAGTTCTGGAAACTGCTCTTGGGTCCAAGACTAGGAGGTTCCTCTAAAATCTCAGGACCCTGCCTCCTGCCTGTCCCCTCACAGGAAGTTTTCTTCCCACAGGTGGAAAAGGAGGGAGCTACTCTCAGGCTGCGTGTAAGTGGTGGGGGCGGGAGTGTGGAGGAGTCACCCACCCCGTAATTCCTCCTGGCCCACATCTCCTGCTGGCTCTGACCAGGTCCTGTTTTTGTTCTACCCCAGGCAGCGACAGTGCCCAGGGCTCTGATGTGTCTCTTACGGCTTGTAAGGGTGAGACCCTGGGGGAGCCTGAAGTAGGCAGATATTGGGGCAGAAGGGAAAAGCCTGGGTTATGGGGATTCTTTGATCGGGACGTTTTGAGTGTGTAGTCGGCTGTTCAGAGCGTCATCACTTACCATGACTGACATGAATTTGTTCATGACTATTGTTTTCTGTAGCCTGAGACAGCTGCCTTGTGTGGGACTGAGATGCAGGATTTCTTCATGCCTCCCCTTTGTGACTTCAGGAGCCTCTGGCATCTCTTTCTGCAAAGGCTTCTGAATGTGTCTGCGTCCCTGTTAGCATCATGTGAGGAGGTGGGAGACAGCCCACCCTGTGTCCCCTGTGACCCCTGTCCCCATGCTGACCTGTGTTCCTTCCCTAGTCATCTTTCCTGTTCCAGGGAGGTGGGGCTGGGTGTCTTCATCTCTGTCTCAGCTTCATGGTGCACTGAGCTGCAACCTCTTACTTTCTTTCTGAAAATAAATGTGTTTTCTCAAATATTTGCCATGCAAGGTTGATGGATTAATAAGTCAATTCCTAAAATTTGAGAGAGGAAATAAAGACCTGAGAACCTTCCAGAATCCACATGTTCTCTATGCTGAGTCTGTTGCAGGTGGGGATGTTGCTGTGAGGAGCCGACTGTGGACGGGGCCTCTGCCCAGTTGCTGTTGAGTCCATCATGGGCTTTATGTGGTCAGCCCTCAGCTGGGTCAGCTTCACTGCTCCATTGTCCTTGTCCTGTCAGTGGAAACGTGTCCAGCAGGAGCTGTGACCCCAGAGGCTCACACATCACCAAGGGCAGCCCCTGCACACAGGAGTCTCTGTGTTTCTGAGACAAAGTTTCAGACCCATTCAGCTCCCACCCTCCCTCTAGGGCTCCTCTTCTGCTCTGCTCTCCTGCCCTCTCTACCTGCCCTGGTTCCAGTGATCTTGGTGCTGGCTCCAATCTCAACTCAGGAATCTAAAGTGGAGTCTAATTTAGATTCATGTTTGTTTGTAAAATTGGGTCCATAGTCAAGAATTGTTCTTTCCTTAAGAGAGAAGCGTGATTGTGTGCTGCAGTGTGGGGGGGGGAGGGGGCGGTTGGGTTGAGAAGAGCGATGGGGAGGGAGGACCACAAGCAGCACTGCTGAGAAACGCACAGGGCTCCATGCCAGTGTGAGGGGACCTTGTGCTGTAGCTGCCACAAAACAGTATTTGGCCTGAGACTATGTTAGAAAAAGATACTGCCTAGAACAGGGAGGTGCTCTACAGTGATCATTCAACTCACCTTTGGTGTTGGCCAGACATAGGACGGAATGGTTCTGCATCTGGTGAACATCACTGAAGTGAAATCAGAAAAATATCTAGCCTTTTGGAGCATGTGTTCCAGTGTGAAGAGGCAGATACACTGTCCAGAGGACAGACAGACTATAACCAGAGTGAGGAAGGAAAGTGCTAGAAGGTGGGACGTGCTGTGAGGCAGGTGATCCAGGGTGTGGGCAGTGGGGACAGAGAAGGTGGCTGTTGTGCCGGGTGGTCTCTGTGCCTTGTTGCAAAGGTGACCTTTGAGGAAAGATTTGAGGGACATGAGGAGTGTCCACGAGAATGTCTGGGGAGGTTCTTTCCAGGCAGGGGACCCTCCAGGGCAAATGCACTAGGGCAGGAAGGGGTCTGTGTTCCCAGGAGAGCAAGGAGGCCAGGAGGACTGGACAGAGAGAAACTAGATGAGGTCAGAGGTGTGGTCAGAGCAGGTGGGCTTTAAGGGGGGGTGCAGTTGGATCTCATCCTTGCTCTGAGTGACATGGGAGTTACAGGACACTTTTCAGCAGAAAAGGGACATAATATGACTTCTCTTTTAAAAGGATGTCACTGACTGCTAATGCCGAGAACAGAACTGAGAGGCCAGGGATGAGGGAGGCAGAGGGGAAAACAGTGGGAAGTGAGTGCCGTATTCCAGGATGGAGATGTCGTTACCTTGACTGGGGTGTAAGCAGGGGAAATAGTGGGACGTGAGGGTATTCTGGATGCATTTCAAGATGGACTCACAGCATTTGCCAATGGATTATATCTGTGGTGTGACAAAGAAGAATCAAGGACACCCATGGTTATAAAATGAGTGAGTAGAAGGAAGGGTGGAGCTGCTGTCAGTGGAGATGGGGGGACTCTGGCAGGAGCATACTGAGGAGGGGGCATCCCAGGCACTCGGTGGAGGAGATGTCTACTAGGAATGCAGGTGAGGGAGCCGGGGTGTGACAGACAACTCCAGAGTTTAGGGGAAAGGACTGGGCCCGAAAATAGACGACTTAGGAGGTCACACCACATAAACGATACTTAAAACCTCAAGCATGGATGAGGGCACCAAGGCAGTGATTGTGGAAAAGAATGAGCGCAGGGACTGAACCCTGGACCTCCAGTTCTAAGGGGTCTGATCAGACCACACCCAGAGCAGACTGCACAGATCTGACCCCACGCCTAGAGGACGCTTAGACAAGGACCTCCCATGTGCACAGGAATCCCCTGGACGTGGTGCCGAGATCCAGGAAGTCTGGAGTCAAGCAAGAGATTCTGGATTTATGACAAGGCTGGAGCTCCTGCTGCTGGTCTCCAGATCACACCTGGAATAGAAAGAACACGTGGATCCCACATGTCTGTGCATTGGCCTCGACTGTAGGGCTTGTTATATAATTGATTCCTCAGTCTTGTGCATAGTACTGTGAGACATGGGTTCTAGAAAGTGGCCTGAGGATTTTCTAATCCCCCACCAGCAAATCTGTCACTCAGCCAGATTGGGAACCACTGAGATCAGAGATCAGAGAGTGCCCAGGGTGGGTGGGTCAGGTGGGTTTTCAAACCTTGGTTAAAAGAGGACTTTTCTCACAGCAAGGAAAGTCAGGATGTGCATCATCAATTATGAGATGTGATATTCCCTGTTGATCTCTCCACCATGGCGTAGAGGCCAGGTAGACAATTCAGGATGTGGCTCTCACAAAGAACACATCTGAATGCTGCTCTCTGACGCTGGGCCACACACTGATTTCTCACTCACTTCTTGGAGCAAACTATGGAAACCAAATTTCTCTAATGTACACATAAAGTAATATATCTGGTGTTGGGGGCCAATTTTAGTGTGGGGAAGACCACAGAACCAAGATGGAAACCACACATTTAGGGAGAGAACCTACAGCCCACCCTGGATCAGGTCCCTCCTGGGAACAACTGCCCCTGCTGCTGAGCACAGATGCCTCTGCTCACACCTCTGACACCCTGGTGCTGGACACTGGACCCTGAGGCTATGACACATGTCACTGCTGCACTTGAAAACTGGGCATCACCACTGCCACTCAGCCACCTTTACTAAAATGCATTCTGCACAGTCCCAGCCTCTCTGTGTCGCCTCATTCTGGCTCAGAGTCTGGCAGTGATATAGGAGTTAAGAAGAAATTATTTAGGCAGATAGTGAAGGTACAGAAGTCCTCAGTAAGGTTTTCCTTTTAATGAAAAGTGGCCCCTAAATTATTTTGTTTTCTAACAAAGAGCAGCCTGTAAAATCAAGTTTCAGACACAGACAAGCCAGCTGGGAGCTCTCACGGGTGAATGCGGCAGCTGTGCCAATAGGAAAAGGACACCTGGGACTAGGCATGGTCACCGTGGTGTCTCCATCTTCCCTTCACTTCACCAGCCACGTGTACAGTAAGGAGCAGACAGCATGGCACACACCTAGTGGAAAGCCTATTTGCATAATAACATTAGGGTGGGGTGAACAACCTTTCCTACACACTATGTAAATGTCACACCTGGTCCAACCAACCTGTGGGCCCTACATATATCAGACACCATCTCCTCAAGCCCGCCTATAAAATCCGAGCACTCCCATTGCAGGCCAAAATTCCCTTTTGGGCGCTCCTCTCTCTCGCCAGAGACAGAGCTGTTCCCCATTGTCTTTCTTTTGCCTATTAAATCTCTGCTCCTAAATTCACTCCTCATGTGTCAGTGTCCTTCATCTTCTTGGCCCAAGACCACGAAACCTGAGTATTCACCCGAGACAATGACGCTGCTTCAGCAGGCGCTCATCTGACTGGTGGAGCCTAAGACTCATGTCCATGGTCAACTGCAGGGGTGACTGGAGGGTTGTGCTCTTCTAGAAAGGGTGGTGGTTTCTGTCTCCTCTCAAAACTTTGCATGTTGTAGGCCGGGCACAGTGGCTTATGCCCATAGTCCCAGTACTTTCGGAGGCCAAGGCAGGTGGATCACCTGAAGTCAGGAGTTTGAGACCAGCCTGGCCAACATAGTGAAACCCCATCTCTACTAATAATACAAAATTAGTCAGGCATAGTGGCATTACAGATCCCTGTAATCCCAGCTACTCAGGTGGGTGAGGCAGGAGGATCACTTCAGCCTGGGAGGCCAAGATTCCACTGAGATGAGATGGTGCCATTGCACTCCAGCCTGGGCAATAAGAGCGAAACTCCACCACACACATACACATTTACATGTTGTAAACCAAAAACAAACTTCCAAACCACCCTTCCCAACCATCTTAATGCACACTCTCCTCAGCCAGGGCACTCAACAGTTTACCTGGAAGACTGGCTCAGGCCACCATGGGAAGCAGGTGCTGAACATGCCTCATTATACCCTCTTCCCTTTTAGAATTTAGGAAAAGCTGACCAGCATTTACCATCAACACAGACCTTAAGTCTGATCAGAAACATTTCCAGTCTATTCTCTCTGAAGCTTGTCACCTGGAGGCCTCATCTGCATGACAAAATTTTGGTCTCCACAACCTCTTACCATAACCCAGACATTCCTTTCTATTGCCAATCAGAACATTTTCAAATCTACCTATAAGCCAGAAGCACTAACTCCCAACCCCTGCTTGCTTCAAGTTGTCCTGCCTTTCTGGACCAAACCAAGGTATATCTTTTTTTTTTTTTTTTTTTTTTGAGACGGAGTTTCGCTCTTGTTACCCAGGCCATCTGAATTTCTGCTTGAACTCCAAAATGGAGTGGCCCCCAATAATTACAGTAGGTAGCCCTAAGCCGTTGATCAGTAGAGTGGATTTTGGCTTTGTTCATCTCTAAGAACTTAAGAAAGTGCTGAACATTGGGTCAGTTCAAGTCTATTGGATGAGCTGTGAATCTCATAATCATGGAAATGTAGGAATAAAGATAAATATACATAAACCACAGATTACCTAATGCTAAGGTTTTGCTACAGGAAAGGGATCTTGATCCACACCCCAAGAGTGGGCTCTTGGATCTTGCACAAGAAAGAATTCAGGGCAAGTCCATAGAGTAAAGTGAAGGAAGTTCATTAGGGAAGTAAAAGAATAAAAGAATAGCTACTCCCCGAGGGCTGCTGGTTGCCCATTGTTATGGTTTTTTCTTGATGATATGCTAAACAAGGGGTGGATTATTTATGCCACCCTTTTTAGACCATATAGGGTAACTTCTTGTCATTGTCATGGCATTTGTAAACTGTCATGGTGCTTGTGGGAGTGTAGCAGTGAGGACGACCAGAAGCCTTTATCGTGGCCATCTTGGTTTTGGTGGGTTTTAGCTGGTTTCTTTATTGCAAACTGTTTTATCAGCAAGATCTT